CTTCATATATATTTGCAAGTCTGCTACAGTTCTGTTTGTGCATTAATCTATATTTTTATCCTACATAGAAATTTGTGCTTTATTCACTGTTTTCCCTTAAAAATGCATTTTGTTCACCTTTTGAGTATGTATACAATGTTAACATATAATATGTAAAAGTAGGATATAGAACAGATACAAATAGCGTTGCAGAACTGGGCCTAGCAGTAAGAGACAGGGACGCAATTCAATAGAATTCTGTGAAGCCAACAATTAGTTTACTCCAAATACATGCTTCATGTAATTTATCAGATGATTAATGGACATCACCAGATTGCCAACAAGGAGACTCGGAAGTAGAAGATGGAGAAGCTTTACTCCCTCTGCAAAAACAAGATCAGGTACAGCCTACGAACTTTTAATATCAAAATAAGAATAAAGCTCAAGAACATTAAAACAGTCAAGGTTGTAGAATATAAGTAACAGTCTTGAAAAGTTTAAAGACACTATAAGAAGCAAATTTTGCATTACTAACTTCATTTGACCATAAACTACAAGAACTATAGATAGAAACCAGAGATATTACAAGGGAAGAAAGCAAAAAATCCCTCTAGTCAAAAAAGAAGGAAAACTTCAAAGGATGACTGATGGCCCTCTTAAAATTGTTAAAGATAGTTAAGAAGCAACAGTAAAGGGGGTCAGAATCTTAAATGTAACTTTTTCAGTAATATTACACATATTATCACAGTATGCCAGCAAATATGGAAGACAAAACAATGGCCTACAGACATTCCAATGCCAAAGAAAAGGGTCACCAAAGGAATTTTAAGATTATTTTATTAATTCATGAAAAGCTTGTGAAAAGCTATGGATCATTCTATAAAATATATGAATGTCCTCATTGTTCTACATGCTGGACAAAAGGCCTCTGTGTGGTTTGGCCACACAGAACACATCTTAAGAAAAACTGGATTAAATTCAGATGAAGAAGCAATGAACATGGGAAAAAATTTCAGTAATTTTAGATGACAATGTATTACGGTCAGAAAACAGTAACGATTTGAAGCAATTCCTCATAAAATATATGAATGTCCTCATTGTTCTATATGCTGGACAAAAGGCCACTGTGTGGTTTGGCCACATGGAACACATCTTAAGAAAATCTGGATTAAATTCAGATGAAGGAGCAACGAACATGGGGAAAAACGTCAGTAATTTTAGATGACAATGAACTGTATTACAGGTAGAAAACAGTAACCATTTGAAGCAATTCCTGATTTAGGTTGAAAAAAGAAAGTGCAAAAGCAGGATTACAGCTGACCACCAAGAGACGAAAAGAATGACTACAGAAGAACTACATAGCTTTGATGCTGACATTAAAGAAACCAAATTGTTAAAGATGTTCGAAATCTGGGTTCGACCATCAATCCAAATGGAGAATGCAGCCTAGAAATCAGAAGAAGACTGAGAGGCGGAAGGACAGCAAGGAAGGGAATGAAAAGTGGTTCATGGGCAAGGAAATATCAGCGGGCACCAAGGCGAAGATACAGTACAGTGGTGCCTCGCTTAACGACGTTAATTCGTTCCAGTGAAATCGCTGTAGAGTGATAATGTCGTAAAGCGAAATTAAAAAACCCATTGAAACTCATTAAAACCCGGTTAATGTGTTCCAATGGGCTAAAAACTCACAATCCAGTGAAGATCCTCCATACGGTGGCCATTTTTGGTGCCTGTATAGCGAGGAATCCATCCCTAAGCGCAGCGGGGAGCCATTTTGGGCACCTGGTGGCCATTTTGAAAACCCAACGATCAGCTGTTTTGATTGTCATAATGCAAAGAATCGGTTCCCAAAGCAGGGAACCAATCTTCGCAAAGCAAAAAACTCCATTTAGACCATCGTTTTGAGATCGCAATTGCAATCGCAAAAACACTGTCGTGAAGCGGATTCATCGTAATGCGGGGTAATAGTTAAGCGGGGCACAACTGTACTTTGGAATTCCTGAGCACTATGTATTCGATGTGAACGCTGCAAAATCAAGAAAGCCGAGAAGAAACAACTGATTCCTTTAAGACGTGGCATTGGAGGAGAGCGTTATTGCTACCAAAAAAGACGAAGGTGGGTCCTAGATCAAATTTCTCTAGAAGAGAAAATGGATAAATTGAGGCTATCCTACAGTACTTCGGACATACCATTGGAAGACAAGACTCGCAGGTAAAGACCATAATTGCTTGGATATTGATAGGAAAAGAGGAAGACAGAACACGAGGTGGATTGACTTGATAAATGAAGCCACAGTCTTGAGCTTGCAAGGGCTATTAAGGATAAGGTCTTTTTCATGGCACGAATCCACAGATTTGCTTGCACTCGGAAGCAACCTGGCGGCAGTCCGCGGATACTCACCGTTGCCACAATTCTTTTTACCGCCGCAGCAGACAGCTCTTCTCCTTTGGGCTGCTCCACCAGTGTCATGCCCAGGTACTTCAAGTTGAAAAGCATCCCCTCTAGTAGGGTCTCTCGGGTGTCAGTCCAGTTCTCCGGAAGCTCTGCAGAATCAAAATAGAAGGTTGTGTTTTTTTAAAAGCACTGACAAATTCTTAGAACTACACAAGGAATATAAGGATAGACAAGCGGACAACGTTCGCTCTAATATTCAGCCTCTTTGTCCCGACCGGAATCAAAGGAGCTGGAAATGATCGCCGTGAGTGCATGGAGGAGGAGAAACGCTGTGCGGAGAAGGGAGGAGTCAGGATCGCACCTTAGAGGGAACCTTGCCAGTGGATGAATGGGCGTTCTAGTTCCCCCTATTTACAGGATAATGGTCTCCGTTTCTTACTCCACTAAACTGCTACATGTTCTTCTGCCTTTCGAGGATGTCTTGCAAAAATTATGTTAATTGGCAGATCTGTTGTTCTTCAGAGCACAACTTTCGTTCCTGGCCTCTACCTGCTACATTTTAGGAAGTAGGACGTATTTACTAGCTTTCCCAACCCAAGGGCTTTAAATCATCATCATCCCCTTACAACTGCACAGTGGAAGGAGTCCTGTGGAGGAGACCGTACAGATTTGAACTACACCTCCCATCAAGCACACTCAGCATAGGTGGGGCCTAAGGAAACTGTATTGCAGCCCATCTTGCCAGACTGGCAGAGAGGTCGGGAGTTGTAGTCCAACGGATACGGAGAATCTTGCCTTGAAGGAGTCTCATAGCCATAGTACACTTGGTTTGACTAATGAATGGAAGTCAAATAAACTCGAACAACCCCCTCAGCCAAAGGGAAAATGAGGCAATTCGGCCGAGACATGGACCAGAACAGACAGAGAGAGACATGGTCTTTAACGCAGATGAAATGATATGTCCGAACCTGAAAACAAGACGTTCTTTGGCATGCTGCTGCAGCTGAAGCACAGGGACTTCAAAATACACATAACACCAGAGTCAGGAGACCTGAGACAATGGCCAAAATCCTATTGTGCAGTTACGCACAAGTAGTAAGTTAAGAAATCTCTGTAGTTGTGCAATTTGGCATGCAATATATTATTTCTACGGAGATGCCTTAATGTATGGTAATTCACCTTTAAAGGTTATGGCTTTTGTGTAGCCGCACAACAGGATTTCAGCCAGGGATCCCTGATCCCACAACTGGACAGGGCAGGATCCTACCTTCATCTCAGAAATGCTGGAAAGTAAAGAAACAAAGATTGTTTTCCAGGAAAATGAACCACCAAACACATAAGTTTCTTTCCTTGCTATCTGCTGAATGCATTTGAAGTGGAACCATCCAAAGCACATTTTCCTGTTTCCAATTCATACACCATGATATATAACACATTAATAAAACAATTAATATAAACAGGGAACCAATGTTGATATATAACAGCTTGAACCAGAGTTTGGAAAATGTACGAGGGTTTTTTTTTGTTTTTTTTTTTGGACTACTCTGTAAACTCCCAACGTAACTTTTTTGTTCTCTATTCGGAATCCATTGAATATCTGGATATACAATTTCATGATCTACCGAGCTGTAGATCACAAATCGCATGCTGGCTGGGGATTCTGGGAATGTAATCTTATTTACCTGAAAGGGCACCAGGAGGAAACAGAGTTGATTCTTGTTACCCACAGACTCTCGTAGAGTGGCCGAAGTTTTAGTACATGAGCAAAATAAATGCAGAACGCTCAAGCCATGTCAGCGCGAACCCATTACTTAAGGATTAAATATGCGTAGTCGGGCAAAGAAATGCGAAGAAGTTATGCTTAATTATTGAGTGACCCCCAGTGAACTAACAGCTGTCTCGTTTGTACTCATTAATTAACATGAGGTACGGTCGGCAGCGAATTCTTCTGTACGGGGCTCAAGGAGCGCAGCACAGCCGAGCAAACAGATGGACAGACTGCACATGGACCCAAATGCCTGTTTCCTACCCCCTCTGCACCCAGCTTGGTCCGTGGGCCGAGCAGCAGAGTGCCGATGAACACACCTATCTGGAGGCCTTTCAAATCTCACTTGAGCGTTTGAAAAGTTATTCGCTGTCATGATTCACGTGTTGCATTGCTCCCTTTGCTGCTCATGACGCCCATTATGGGTTGGAGGCAAAGAACGGAGAATGACTTAAAACTTTTTAAAACTATCCTTAACACTGCTGCTAAAAATGCTTTACAATGTGATTTTTGAACCTAACTAGAAAAGTGACTCATCACACCAAGAAAGTAATTAACTGTTTTGTTATTCTCGAAAGGTAACTTCATTACAACCTCATTACCCTCCAGAAGTAACTAGACAGAAGTACCTATGTTATCTTTAATGCATTAATTCCAAGCCATCTTGACTCTACCCCATTTTCCAAACATCGCTGCTACGGGTTTTCCTTCTCTCTCTAGCTAACAGGGAGACTCCACTCTGACTTGTCACCCTATAAGTCGCTCCAAACGCTTCAGTTATCCCTTCTGATGGAAAAACAAGACTTCCTATACAGGCATGTACGTATGATTCTGAATCCACCTACCTGACTCACCTCCCTTTCTCTCTCTTCCATGGCAGCTTATTTCTACTTGCCAATACTTTCTCATTATGAATAGGTAAGTAGGTATAATTCAACACTAACAATACAGCAACAGAACTTTGGTAAGTATATGTTAAAAACTGTTCCAAAGGCTACGGGCAAAGTGAGTCAGAAATAAGCACCGCATAAAAGCATGACACTCCGCCCCTCCGCCTAGATTACAGCGGAGCTCAGACACTTTTTTTTTGCCTTACAACCGGTTCTGTGCATTGTAAGTGAAATTAAAAACATGTTTCTAAGCTCTGCATTATAGCCGTGGTATATGGCTTACATGGTATGTAAAAACTTCTATGGCTTACAGGGGGCAAAATCCTATTGGCCAAAATCCTCTTGAGTAGATACACAAACGGCATAACTTTCGGAGGTAAGTTATCTCAAATCGCCATAGACATCCTCGGTTGTGCGCTAAGTCCTACAACTCAGCATGCGACTGAGAATGTTCATGGTGATTGCTTAATTTAGGGCGATTTCCCTCCAGAAATTAAGCCATTTGTGCTACGCCAACATAACGAGGCCAGAGGATTCTGGCCATTCAGTTTTTAAGCCACTCTTAACACAACTGGTGTAAATCTCACTGGTGAAGTCCTACAAGTTAAGACATTAACATAGGCATTTGTTGGATGCACAACTGGAAATGCTTACGCTAACTTTTGAACCAATGAGATTTACATCAACAGCATTATGCTAATAGGATTTTGGCTTGTGTTTATTTCTGGGAACAACAACGCTAAGGCTCTGGTCATATAATTACGTACCGGGAAGCATGCCCCATTGAATTCAATAGGATTTTTAAAAGATGCAAAAAATACGCTGGTTTTCTTTTTGATATTTTTCTCAGATTCCACCTGCATTCCTATCCTGTCCAACTTTTGAACAGCATCACAAGACTTTTCTTCTTTTCCAAATGAAAATCCATGCGTATTTTGGCATGTACTTTCCTTAACATATCCATTATACGTACTTTTTTTCTCAATGTACACACTTTGTTATACACATTCCTCATTACTTACAATGTAGAATTTTTTCAGATATAGTCTTAATCATGCATCTTTGCCTGTGTATGATTTGAAAAGGAGAAACAAGGAAAAATAGTAAGTTTAATGCTTGTGGTTTCCCACTGATAGTGGGGAAAGAAGATGGGTGTGCATTTTTCTTAGTAATTTACAGACCACACGTTGGGTCAATTCATTAGAAATCTCAATTAGCACAAACTTATTTTCCATCCCTATTAAGCAGACAGGTATCTGGTCCTGGACAGTTAAAGCAAAGGTATGCCATCTGGATAATATTTGTTTTCACACCACAACTCCCATAATCCTTAATCACTGACCTTGCATGTAAGAATGGATAACAGGAGTAATATAAAATTATCTGGAAGCTACAGTATTGGCTTGCCTGCTCCTAGTCCAGGAGTCAGAAAACATCAGCCTTCCGCCTCTTTTATCAGCCCCAGAATGGCCAACAGTGACAGACTTTGGGTGCTGCAAAGCAAAAGATAAGGAAGACCAATGTTTTCCCTTCTCCTGCACGAAAGTAAAACTACCTTTTTAGGACAGAGGTAGGCAACAATGACAGATGTGCAGGCCAATTCTAGGCCCTAAGACCTGCTCCCGGTTGCCTCCTTCTTTGGATATTTGAGTTGTTTTAAATGGAAAGTCACTTCTGCAGAGACAAAAGCAGCCCCCATCCCTTAAAAAAGCCACATTTTGCTGCAGCAAGCCCGCACACTTGGTTTTCGAGGGAAACTGTTGCTCCTTGAGCCTTCCAGACATGCAATTTCCCCTGTTCTGAACAACCACAAAAAATGGCAACAGGGAGACACAGAACAGATGGGGCCACATGCGGGACACAGATCGTGTGTTGATTGTGCCCATTTCGGGGAACCCTGATCTACATGTCGCGTTGATTGTGCCCATTTCGGGGAACCCTGATCTATATGTCGCTTAGGAAACTGAAAAATAAATGCCCAGCCGGAGTTTAGACAAGCTCAAAGGAAGGCCCAAGGTTGGGGACCACTGGCTTAGGAAACTGAAAATAAATGCCCAGCCGGAGTTTAGACAAGCTCAAAGGAACAGAGTGAGATTAGAGATGGGCACGAACAAGTTCGTCCCGGTTCGTCAAGGCGGCAACACAGGGGCTGCTGCTTCCACCTCCTCTGGCTCAATCAGCCACTTGCCCCGGGCCCAGCCTCCGTGATCTTCAACTGATCTTCTAGTTCCGGCAACAACTCAGACTTCTCTGCCCTCTCCCTCTCGGCTGATCTCCCACTTAGACCAAAGAGAAGCCTGTGCTCTTGCTTGTGACTGGGAGATTTAGCCAAAGACATGGGAAGAGCAAGCAAGCTGGGCCTGGTGAGGGGCTGGTCAGCTGAGGAGGCAGAGCAGCAGCACCTGTGCTGACACCTTTACGAACCGGGACAAATTGGGACAAACTGGTGCGTGCCCATTTCTACTTTAAGACTCAAGGTTTCACAAGCTGCAGC